TGAGGTGATTTTGTGATACCTCGGATTGGATTGCATTTTTTATTTCTCTCCGATATCTGATCCAGTAATTTAGGTCCGTATCGGACCGATAGGTAATATCGGATCGGTCCATCTCTAGTAGAAACCTGGCTTTTTAAAATCAAAGTACACCTTTTTGGCACAGTCATCCAATCCAATTTTATTTATAAAGCACTTTAAAATACCCAGCACAGGAACAAAGTGCTGTACAGAAAGTAAGTTAAACAGCAAATTAAATAAATAAATCACATAAGACATAAAATTAAAATTAAAACAGCCCTATGTTAAAAAAAAACAAGATAAAACAGCATCGAGTCACCTAAAAACAACTAAAATAAAAATAAATATAAAAACCAACATCTCACGTGGTGTCAAAGGCCAAAGTAAAGAGGTGGGTTTTCAAGAGTGACTTAAAAACAGGTAAAGAAGTGGCCTGTCTAATCTCTAAAGGAAGCTCATTCCACAGTTTGGGAGCCGCTACAGCAAAAGCACGATCTCCTCTAAGTTTACGCCCAGTCCTGGGTATCTTCAGGAGCAGCTGATCAGCTGACCTGAGAGAGCGGGTGGGTGTATAAGGCTGTAGCAGCTCAGAGAGATAAGATGGGGCGAGGCCATGGAGAGCTTTAAAAGTAAATAAAAGAATTTTAAAATGAATCCTAAAAGAAATGGGCAGCCAGTGAAGTGAAGCTAAAACAGGGGAAATGTGCTCAAACTTTCGAGTGCCAGTTAAAAGACGAGCTGCGGCATTTTGCACCCTCTGTAGGTGACTAATATATAATGCACTGACCCCTATATAAAGTGCATTACAGTAATCCAGCCGAGTGCTAACAAAGGCGTGGATCACTGTCTCAAAGTGCTGCCGTGAAAGAATTGGTTTTATTTTTGCCAGCTGCCTGAGGTGAAAGAAGCTAGATTTTACCACTGCCTTAATTTGATTATCGAACTTTAGATCACAGTCCACTTTGACCCCCAGGTTTGTGACAGTTGGCTTAACATACTGTGCCAGGGAATCTACATACACATTGGGGGTCTCAGTGGAGCTACCAAAAACCATCACCTCTGTCTTTTTATCATTGAATTTTAAGAAGTTAGCAGACATCCAAGCCTTAATATCATCGAGACACTGAAGTAATGGCTGGGTAAGGTATCTACCTTTTTTCTTTAGAGGGACATAGATCTGACAGTCATCAGCATAAAAGTGGAAAGCAATGCCGTGCAGTCATAACAAAACATCTTTTAGTGTGTTAATTCATGCCATTTTGTTCCTATTGAGAGTACATTAAATTAAATTATCAGCATTGACAGTGAAAACTTTGGTAAACGCTGTTTGTGGTCAGCATTTCAACGCCAAGTTTTAACTTCAACAGGTTTTTGCTTTTAAGCCACACCCATTTCTGACATGACTCTTCATCCCTTGCAAAGATAAATTTTCATGACTTCATCTGATACGTTTTACTGCAGAAGCGAACAGGAAGCAAATCTGACAGCCAAGATGATGAGGAGCTCAAAAAACAGTGTGAGAAGTGGTAGGTAGCTGTCAGAGAAAATCATTCTGACCATTTCAAGAGCCTAACGGGAGAAAGTGGGAGTATGGGACTGATAGGACAAACTAGACAAATGTGCCATTCATCTGTCAGCCTATTTCCTGTTTCTTAAAAAGCTTCAATGACGAAAACTCTCCTGTGTTTGTTAATAATCATATCTCAGAAAAAATAACATGGTTTTCCACAACCAGGTCTAGTTGTGATAACAGACATTGCAGGACAAATGTTATGGTATAGAGGCTAATTTAGATTACAGTGTGAAATCAGCACCATCTCATTCCTTCCAGTTCCCACTTAAAGTCAGATTATTTGTTTTTTGTTGTTGTTGTTTTTTAGAATATTTCCATTAGAACTCTCTTTAAATTGAACCCTGTATATATAACTGACCATCTTGTTTGTGTAGGGTTAATGCAAGAAGTTGAAATTCTTGAAAATATATTATTGCTAACATTTTTGGGTTTATCAGTATTAAGGAGTTACTGCTTCCACTGTCGCTTGCAAGGCCGTTTAACATTACACACTGATTTGCCTGAAGGTTGATGGCCTTTTGAAATGAATACATAGTCTGCTCTGAAATATGCTTTTGCACCTGAGGAAAGGTTGTTCTCTGATATGAATCTCCAGTAATTCCTGCAGCTGTCTTTGACATTTTCTAGCTGGTAAACATTTTGGTTGTTTTGCATAAGTCTGTGCTTCGTATGGTTTTTGAGGTATGCTATTAAGAGCTCATCTGTGAATGTGTAAACATTTTGTACTTTCATTCAGTACGTTTGTTTTTCTGAAAATGAAAACAGCGGAATTCCATAAAATAAAGGCAGAACATAGATTTTGTGCATTACATGGAGTATATTCCAGATGTTTTTATAAGCCACACAGTAAAAACACTGATTGTGCTTTCTGTGAGATTCTACGTCACTACTTATCGTGCTGAATTGAAGTCTGACAAGTGGTTTGTTGTAACCTCAATGCTTCATTAAAACAGAATTCATAGTTTTGGCTGAATGGTGATTGCGTCTGAGATGATTAATTCTAAGACAGCCCACCCTGAATGCCCTGAGATCTCTCAAATATCAGAAAGAATTGTCTGCACTGTGGCTAAAGATGAAACACCATAAGATATTAATCTGTAACAAGACAACACAAGCTGATTAACAAGATAATACTTCATGTAATCTTGTGAGATATAAGATCTTCTTCCTTCAGTTGCACATGAGCTACTTCTACAGATTAACTGGCTTTCTTCAGTCTGAATAAGACATAGGAGCTGTCACCCAACCAGCTTTTCTTCTGTTCAAGCAGAAGTTTGATGACATCTATCTTCAAATCTGCAGCCTTGCAGAACCGTTTCTTATTTGAACTGTTCAATGTTTACACCTGTATTTTATTTTATTTTTTTTTAGACTATCTGTACCATGCTATGCTGGCAGCAGCACTCCCCGCCTCAATCTTAGTGTTTGCTTTAATGTCAGATGTGCTGCTGCATGATTTGCGTTTGATTATGGGGGCTAAGGTGAGTTGGCTGGCTTTCCAGTTGTCATCTGCCCTGCAGCAGTTTAAGTGGACCTGCAGTGAATCAACTCTGAAAAATTACTTCTCACTCAGTAGGAGATAGTTGGGTGTATTCAAAGTACCTTGTCACTTCCAATATGCTCTCAATGAATCTCCGCCGTTGCCGATGCAAGGCCTCAACCCACTCTGCTGGAAAACCAATGTGTACAGCTGTATTTTGTGACTGTGTGCAGGGAGATTGTTCCTTTAGAAGTTATTACAACTTCAGGAATGAGAAGGGTGTAGATGTGTAGATACAAGATGGTTTATAGTGGCATATTTTGTGTGTCAGGCATGTGTGTACTTTTTATCTCAGGCAGAAAAAGGAGGAGGGCAGAAATAATAGTGCAGGGTAGTGATGACCAGATGTGCGTCACAGGAATCAACTTAGAAATTAAAAATCCGTCTTCAAATTTAAATTCAAATGTAACCAATGAGCTTGTTTACGACACCTGAATTTGCAAAGAATCTCGTAACATCATCTAACAGCACTCATAGCAGCAAAACAAAAAAACAAATGCAGTTTGATATAACAAGAAAATAAGGTTTTAATGACTCAGAGTGCTGTTTCTACATGTTTTTGGTTGACTGCTCTAAATGTTCTGCTTAGCAATTTTTCCCCTCTTCTTTTTAATCTATAGCTATCTATATGATGTCAGTGTGAGCAGATATATACCTGATACGATTCTCTCAGGCAAACAACTCTAGCTGTGCACACAGACGTGCCACCCACATGCTGGTCAAAAAAAAAAATCTTATTTTGTGAGGGGCAGCCAATCAGAAGAAAGGTAGTTTAAAGGGAGGGGGAAGGGAACTAGAAATGGCTTCTTCGCTTTCATACACTCCAAGGATAAAAAGAAATATGTCATTGTTCCCCTTTAAGGTAGACCATCTTCCTCTTTTGGCTGCTCACCACAGCAGATGATATGCCTCCATCTCACCCTATCCCTACATCCTCCTCTGTCATAGCAGCCTTCCGTATATTCTTTTTTACTTTCTCCATCAATCGTCTCCGTGGTCCTTGTGTTTTCCTTCTCCCTGACACCTCCATATTCAACATCCATCGTTTCCTTTAAGACAGATGTTGGACATAAAAGTGGCTCTTCATAGTTAGTTTCAAACTCAGCCCATAAACCTGTTGCTTAAAATACTTAAGTGACTCTGAGGCCCACATATGAATTTTGTTATATTATACTGAATCTATATGGAGTTGGTTTTGCCTGTTGTAAGCAGAAATATCCAGATAATGCTGAAGTGGTTCTTTAGGCACAAAGGGAAATCTTCTATATGAGAAGCTTATTCAGCCCCTTGGACGTTTCTTTAAACTCTTGCATTTTTAATGAAAAGATTTGAAGACGTATATATCATGGTGGAAATGCTGATAGACTGATAAATACTAATTTCTGAGCAAAGTACTGCCACAGACCAGCAGCCTCATTACTACCACCAATGCTGTCAGCGCAGGCTTATGTTAGTGGAACCATAAAAATGTCAGTACTTTTTCAATTTGTCAATTTGATGGAAAATTGACAGAGAAATGGGAAATATGATAGTCTGAGAATGTCACAGCATTGTGATTGTGGCTGAATGTGTTGCTGACATGGTTGATAGGTGAAAATGAAGGATGTGGGATCAGACTCGCAGCCTTCTCAACCTTGAGAGTCCATGGCAACCCACTGAAAGCAGAATGGTAAACGGAGGCAGGCTGTGTGAGAGAAAGAAATTAGTTCTGGACCAGAACTGTCTCTTCATTTCCGCATAATAATACTGCAGTAAAAAGGTTAAGAAAAAAGTATTAAAAACCTTAGACCAATACAAATCCCTGTGCTTTTTTTTGCCCCTGTTTTCTCTGTGCTATGTCTCACTTCTCTACTCTTTTTCATCTTTCAGGAATTCACTCTGAAGACTGTGGACCTAAGCAGGCCTGAGGGCTCTGACATATACCAAATCCCTGCCCAGGGGAACAGGGGAGATTAAAAACTTCTGATTGAGGTGGAGAGGAAAGAGACACAGATAGAGGGAAGGAGAGACAGAAAGAAAGCTTATCGTTCACCTTTGTTCTTTTTAATGCCCCAAGTGAAAGATCTCCATAGGCATGTCTGTGAATAACAGCAAACACAAGAGCAGCTGCCCACCACTGTGGTCAGAAGATGGAGTGAGAGAGTGAGGGAGGAGACGAGAACAGGATTACATCCTGTGAAAGAGCCAAGCTCATATTCTACTTTAATTGAATGTTTGGAAGAAAGGAGAGGCATGAGAGCAAGCCTTTTCAGTGCCAACTGCTTCAAGAGGTACTGCAATTAACCCTCTGGCCATCATAAAGTAATACCTGGCTTTTGCTGTTTTCCAATTGCTGGGTTTGGTTGTACACTGTGGATGTGTGCTTGGGCCGTGGTCATGTTTCAGCCCCTGGTGTGTAGACCGGAACGGACCGGCTCTCAAAGAAACGGCCTGATTCCTCCTCTGTTGCTGCTGCTGCTTCTTTACACCTCCCTTAAGCCCGCTCAGGCGGCCAAACCCAAAGGGCCAGGACACACACATTTGAACTCTATTCGCATCGATGGGGATATCTCCTTAGGTGGGCTCTTCCCAGTACACGCCAGAGGGCACGATGGAAAGCCGTGTGGGGAGCTGAAGAAGGAGAAGGGTATACATAGACTGGAGGCCATGCTCTTTGCCCTTGACCGCATCAATAATGACAATAATCTACTGCCCAACATCACACTGGGAGCACGAATCCTGGACACCTGCTCAAGGGACACTCACGCCTTGGAGCAGTCTCTCACCTTCGTGCAGGCTCTGATCGAGAAGGACGGCACAGATGTCAAATGTCTCGGTGGGGGGGCGCCCATTATCACCAAACCTGAGAGGGTTGTAGGTGTTATTGGAGCCTCCTCCAGCTCTGTCTCCATCATGGTGGCCAATATATTACGCCTGTTTAAGGTAAGATTATCATTACTTATTAGCTTGGTTTGTTGGGATGTGCGAATTGCACAAAAAAAAGGATTCCAAATTCAAAATGATGCATTAGCCTGAAAAATACATATGCTTTTGCTTCAGTGATGCACGTAGATACCGTATTTGTTTGAATAATTAATAACACCGGATGGAAAACAGTACAAGCCGCTGAACAATGTGAGAGAACAATAAGTGTTCGATATCTGCTGCCACACAAAGACCAATTTCATAACTTTAGTGAGGAGATGCCTGGGTAAATCTCATCCCGGCTGGTGCCCTCGAGGAGCTGGTTGCTAAGCAGTGAGAGGTATTGCCTGTCACAATACAAAAGTGATTAATAGGATTTGATTTGATTTTTGGCCTATAGCCTTTCCCTTGATCACAATAGTGTTTACATTTGTTTACACTACAGAAAAAAATGTTCTCTTCGTGGACATTTGGACATTTGATAAATTATTCAATACAGATTTTATTATCACGCCAGTCAGCCATGGCAGTCATAATAGTTCTTTTTCACTTTACCAAAGGTATGATTGCTATTTAACGCTTGGCTCACTACAAAATAGCAAACCTTTTTTGACTAAAAAGAACTAGTTTTTTAAAAGTACTGTCATATTTGAAAAGGTTTCATGGGTAATTACACCTTTTTTTTGCAAAATATTAGACAAATCACTTTCAGTGAGATGAGGTAGTGGTTGATTTAAATTCAGTGATAATTAAAACCAGGAACTTTTCCTCACACAAACTTGGGGCTAAAAAAATATTTTAATATTTATACAAGACCCTGACTCCAGATTTTACCTTCACCTTGATCTTGCATGGAAATTTGTGTCTATTACTGTCCTTTTCTTGCTTATGCTGCAAGGTCAAAGGGGAACTCAATCACACTCAAAAACATTCTTTCAGCTGATTCAGTGTTTGCCCAAGGACACTTCAACAGAACAGGTGTTTACTGTCATCAATTCTTTTAAAACATCAGTATCTAAAATGTTAGATGAGGAGCTGCAGATTCAACTCAAAGCACACTGCTGGACATTTTTTCAGTGCTGTATCACTGTACACAACACCAGATGAAAGCACAGCAAGCCACACATAGATTTTACTCGGGCAGGACACGTGGGTATATTGAGGGCTGCCCAAGTATATTTTGAAACCAGCCTTTTTATTTAAACTTCTGTTATATATAAGAGTCCTAGTAGCTGCCTCCGAGGCTGAAAAGTGAAGCTAATACAAAGTGTCAAAAACTCCTCTTCCTAGAGTGGCCACAAAAGCCAGTCAGTCCCCATAGACTCCCACTTTTAAACGTGGTAAAAAGCATGTTTATGGATATTGTACCTTTGTTAAGGTTCACATAATTGAGGAAGGAGAGTACAAACAACCAGGTCCAGAAGATCTTGGTCAACCAATTGATTTTAATGAATACACGCATGGGAAGATCACCACAGACAGCACTTGATCTTCAACTTAATCAAAGCATACACAGATTTTTATAGCATCAGGGTTTGAATTAATGACGCCCCTTCATACGTCACAGACAGAATATATACATACGTCAAATCAAAACCACAATGACTTTTAACACAGTTTAAAAGAACGTTGTCTTCTATCTTCATGGCCGGTACTTCCTGTCACTGCCGGATGCTCTCTTGTCATCTTGACACCTCAGCAGCAGTTCTGCGACAAACTGCTCTTTTTGCAACCCCAAGCAAAACATGATTAAACTTCCACCTATAAATGATTCTCTCTAACTGAGTGTGTGTGTGTGTGGTGTGTGTGTGTGGTTCGTCCTCAAATGTTCTCTCAATTCACCCGTTGCACTTCTGACCTTTTACCAGACCAGAGGCTCATCCTTATGTGTAATAACCTAACTGAAACTACATGTACTATGTTGAATAAATGTTTTAATCAAGAACCTCTACTAAGAGCTTAGTAAAAGAATATAAAAGTATAACAGACAATTTGAATAACCTAGTAATTCAAATAGCCTCGTCTAACCTGCTCCTCAGAATAACTTTCGGTTTCAGTCCTGCAAACTCTCTGCAACTTCCTGTCAACTCCTGCAACTTAGTCTTTCTGAAAGACACACACACTGTTTAACAACTATATATAATTGTTCTTTTTTTTAATAACATGTTCATTTGGATACTGGTTAAAGTGCACGTTAAGTTTGCAGCATGGCTGCTTCATTTCACAGATGTGGTGTGCCTCCTCTAATGTGGGTGACAAACAGTCTTTGTGTGGTTGACATCACTTGGCAATTAGAGATGTAATTACTTTACAGACAGCACTGTAATTCAGGTGTGCTGCACCTGTGGAATTTCTGGCAGCTGACCAAACACACTAGCGTTAGTTCGTAACTTAGAAGTCTATCCTCTTGTCCAAACATGGCAACCTCAGGCTCCAGAAAATCAACATGGTGGAAACCAAAATGCTAATACTAATGCTTCAAACTGTGGAGTCCAGAATATTATGTGATGTAAAAGTGGTTACTTCCATCTTTTATATACAGTGTATGCTGCCAACCAGCTAACTGAGACCCTTTATCTTGTGCACGTTTCTGTACTGGCAACCAAGTTGCTTTTGTTTCAGCTCTTTATTAAACTGCACGCTTACATACAGTACTGTGCAAAAGTTTTAGGCAGGTGAGGAAAAAATGCTGTAAACAAAGAATGCTTTTAAAAATGGAAGTGTTAATCATTTATTTTCATCAATCAACAAAATGCAGTGAATGAACAAAAGAGAAATCTAAATCAAATCAATATTTGGTGTGACCATATTTTGCCTTTAAAACAGCATCAGTGCAGACAGTTTTTGAAGCAACTCGGCTGGTCAAAACATGTTCCAAACATCTTGGAGAACTAACCACAGATCTTCTGTGGATGTGGGCTTCTTCACATCCTTCTTTCTTCATCTAATCCCAGACACACTCAATGATGTTGAGATCAGGGCTCTGTGGGGGCCATACCATCACTTCCAGTACTTCTTGTTCTTCTTTACGCTGAAGATAGTTCTTAATGACTTTGGCTTTATGTTTGGGGTCATTGTGCTGCTGCAGAATACATTTGGGGCCAATAAACAATCATTTATATTTCTGAAAGCATTCTTTGTTTACAGCATTTTTCCAAACCTGCCTAAAACTTTTGCACAGTACTGTATATAAATGGCATGAAAATATCAAAGGGTGTTGGTGAAATAAAGAGTTGATCAGCCTACCATATGTTCATTTTTCATTCATTCATTAGTTTATTAATGATTAGTTATTTGTAATTTTTAAGCCAAATGCTTAATTCAAAGCTTTGTTAATTCATGTATTTTTGCTTTGTTTTATTTTGCTACTCTTCTTTGTCTTATTTGATGTATGAATTCAGTATCTCAGGTTCTGGAGTGTAGTTTTGAGGGTCGGAGGGGAGGCAATTTGAATTTGTTACCTTGGGCTCTGGGAAACTCCGGGGGCATTTTTACTATTTGCGACATAACTTAGAAAATAATTGGCTGATGGATGTGAATGAATGAATGAAAATGAAATGAAAAATAATTATTAGCTGCACTGTTGGATGATGTAAATGAAAGCCAAAGGAGCATGATGTACAATGTGTTTCTATACTTCTTTTTTTTTTTTCCCCCCTTGATCAACCAATCAGTGTTCTCATTACCAGTACCAAATCCTAGACAACCTCTGAACCAGACCAGACTCAATGCTTTATCTGCTACCTTCCAGTGTGATCTCATTCGCCAGCGATATGCAGGAGAGATGCGATTTCTTTTTTCTTTCTTTCTTTTTTTAATTTTTTATTATAACTGGACTATGATTAGGACATGTTTCTTTTTTATTTCATTGCCTGTGAAAATGTGTTCATTTTACAGGCGATGTGAGTGGAGCCCAAAAAAAAGGGAAAAAAAAGTGAGATGTGAAGTAAAGCATGAAAGCTGATATATACTGTAGGAGTTTGGTGTGGGGTAGCTGGTGTGTAGGTGTGCTGCACTGCAGTGTATCTGGACAGAAGCCATTAATACTATAGCACCACTCATACTTCCAGATAGGTTGAGTAATTTTAAAAATCAAAAATATGTAAAGTGGAAAATGAAAAGTAGTATTCACATCACTAAATAAAATGCAATGCAAATGACCTGGAATGCCTAGATTTAGCTACGGCTCTAGATTTAGCTGAGATGGATATGAGGCTTTTATTTTGTTTTTTATGCTTATTTATGTATTAGTTAATCTAATACTCCACAGCAACAGCCTGCAGTCTATGTGTTATTTGATAAGCTCCCTGATTCCAGAGTGTTACAAACCACATGGGATATATCCTCCTCCTCGAGGCCCCCAGCATTAATCAGTGTGAACCCAGTGTGATGGCACACACGCACTTCCTCACACACGCCAAGGTCTCGTGCATTCTTTTATGTTTTAATGTGTGTAAATGTTTTTGTTAAAGTCTGTGTATAGGTTTGTGCATCTCCGTACGGATATTTTCAGTACACACCAGTAGAAAATATACTCTAGCACACAGAACCCTGTGCATGAACTTTGCATTTCTCTCTGTCTCCATCTCATAAAGTATGCCTATATGTGCACTCACACAGGTAAGAGTCGGTGTGGGCCACAGTAATGAGCATCTCCTGCAGTGCGTTCCTGATCCCTTTCTCGCATGGGAGCCTCAAATCCTTCGTCATTAGCACAGTGCTCATTGCTTCTTCATTAATGCATGTAAGCGTTGTCCTTGCATATTTAATCTGAATGTCTCTGATCTCCTGTCTCTTTATCCTCAATGCATATAAGCAATGCATTCCCCTCGTCTGCTTTTTTATATGCAGACAAATGGAGGGTGAGAAAGCAGCACTAGACTGACAGCAAGCCAGTCCATCTTCAATACTATCACTTTTTAATCGCTCTTCTGAAAATCAATCAAATCACAGTGATAAATCAATCAAAGACTGTTGCAACACTCCAAAAAAAAAAGAAAAAAGACTGAACTAAACTG